TGGTGCTGTCCAGCCTTTGGAGCAGGGGGCCTGGCACATAGCAGGAGAACAAGAGTTTGTTTACTGAATGAATGTGTTCATGGGGGTGCAGGGCAGAGGAGGCAAGGAGAGGCGACCTGCAGGTGAAGGCTGGAGACCTGGGCAGGTGGGCTGGGGGCTGTGTAACTGCAGGTGCCGGGGCATCCTTTGCTCTGAGCCCTGTTTGTCCTTCTAAGGTGGCAGTTGTTTCCCAGGTTCTTTAAGATCCCAGGTTGCAGAGAGAGGGGGAAGACAAAGCTCTAATAATAAGTCTTCACTTTCTCGTCTCTGGGGTGACGATTTCCAGGAAGCTCAAAGGCTTTTATAGATGTGATCGATTGAGTCTCAGCAGCCACCCTGAAAGGCTGGTTCAGGCCAGTTAGGGGAGGGTTTAGGACAGAAAAGAAGAGAGAAGTTGGAAAGAGACGGAAGGTGCTCAAGGGCTTGACTGTCACGGCAGAGACGAGGCAGAAAAGCGGGCAGACGTGGTCTGCACAAGTGTCTCGCACCCCAGCCAGCCTCTGATTCCATAGGAGGGGCCCAAAGGTTTGCGTCTCTAACAAGTCCCTTAGTGATACTGACGGTCCAGGGAACCACAGTTTGAGAATTACTGCCTTCCAACAATCCTGGGAAAGGAGCCCTCGCTATCCCCACTTGGTAAGGAAAGAAACTGAGGCATAGAGAGGTTAAGTCACGTGCCCAGGGCTACTAAGTAGCAGAACCAGCCCGGAAACTCGGTGGTCCTACCAGGACCCTCTGTACTTGTCCCAAGCCCAGGTCTCAAGCTCAGTGTCTGCCCCCAAAGGACATTCAGACTGCTGGGGCTTAGAGTTCAATCCAATCCCAGACAACACACACAGCTGTACTTCTGGCTGGTGCAAACCTCACAAGAGCTCCAGAAGCCATGTTTGTTTCCCACACAAACCAGGAAAACAGAGCCACTTGCTATGAAGCTCTGGGGGCTTATTTCAAACTCCAACCCCAGTATATGGCTCTAGATGAGATCCACAGGCCATGCATGCACACATGCACTCGACCAATGATTGTGCAATCCTTATTACTTGTTTTTTCAATCCTAGTAACAGATCCACTTTCCTAAGCTTTAAGCCTTTTCCAAATCAGGAGCCTGTCTTTTGTGTTTTGAGGCCATTACTGGAAATTTTAGTCATAATTATTGCCTGACCATGGTACCACTCATGTGCCTAAGTGCACTGGCCTTTTCTGCTTTTTCTGGCAAAATCTGTTCTCCTTCACCCTTCAGCAGCCTAGTGAGCTGAGGAGGTAGAGTGCTGGGAAGCCATCGGGCCGGGTGCCCTTGGGGATAGACGGAAGGTGGGACCGCCCTCCTTGGGTACCAGCCCTGCCGAAGGACGGGCTTTTCCTCCTCAGGGCATCCAGTCTGCTGCCGTAAGGTGGGGATGAAAATACCATCTCG